TTTCACCGCAAAAGGCTTTCAAGGCTCTAACACTACTTACACACGGTAGAAGCGTGTAACGCTGTTGCGGTCAAGTTAGCGCAAGATATGCCATTTACACTGGCAATTTTCCACTAACAACAAAGGCCCAGGCCAGTTGATGCAACGTTTTCAAATCGCATGTAAACTATTTAGATGAATTCTTTTGACTGCCAATCCCAAGGGAGCGGAGGGAAAATGATTTGTTTTACCCTCCGAGCTCAAAAGCTCTCTTGGGAGGTAATTCAATTGAAATTTCACATTCAGAGTAGCCAGGCAGTGATAAACAGATGTTTAAATTAGCTGCATTACGCCATAATCAAACATCTTAGGAGGGGGTGGAGAGAAGTTTTGTTTTTCAATCAACACCACAAAGGGGTGTGTGCTTGCAGGAAAGGGGGGGGCTGCTTTTTGGTATTTTTAGAAGGAATGTTTTTCATACCTCTGTAATCAATCAACCACAGTTAGGACTTCTTGAGACACAGAAACCTCTAACAACATGGAGAATGTGCAGGCTCATCTGGCATTTCATTTATCTGATAAGGAAAGCAATATTTTGGCACGGGGGAAAAAAATCTTCAAAAATTCAGCATGTTTTCAAATTTTATTTCCTAAAGAAATCATTGGGCTGTACAAATTTCTGCTCTTCTCCAAGCTCCCCAGCCACTAGTTTCATTAATTCCAGAGGAAACTGGCAGAAGTATGAGCCAACTAATATATACCATATATTCTCAAGCAAGGCTGGCCATAAGATGGAGCTAGGCTTCCTTTGGGAAGAAGATTGGGGCATGATGGGAGGGAGGGGCACTGGTGGGGGAGCTGTACCATCCGAACGGATTCCACATGTACAAGAGACTTGTCTAAGACATGTGCGTGTAACTGATATCTAGCACCATCTTGAAGATTTTCTTACCCACCGTCACAGGGGAACTTAGGTGTGTGCTCTAACTGGATGTGGCAGCCTTTGGACCCACGTTAGGTGGTAATTATGGTTGGCCCTATATATATATATATATTGGTCTTCTAACTTCTGCTAAACTGGTTTTGAATTGGTTTAAATTTGTAATGTGAAAATGCCATAGGATGTAAGTACTCACAATAACGTACAACCAGCCCTGCTGGATCAAACCAAAGGCCTACTTAGCACAGGATTCTCTTCCAACAGTGGTAATAATAATAATAATAATAATAATAATAATAATAATAATTTATTATTTATACCCCGCCATCTGGCTGGGTTGCCCAGCCGCTCTGGGCAGCTCCCAATCGAATATTAAAAACACAATACAGCATTAAACATTAAAAACTTCCCTAAACAGGGCTGCCTTCAGATGTCTTTTAAAAGTAGGATAGTTGCTTATTTCCTTGACATCTGATAGGAGGGCGTTCCACAGGGTGGGCGCCACCTCCGAGAAGGCCCTCTGCCTGGTTCCCTGTAACCTCACTTCTCGCAATGAGGGAACCGCCAGAAGGCTGTCGGTGCTTGACCTCAGTGTCCGGGCAGAACGATGGGGGTGGAGACGTTCCTTCAGGGATACTGGACCGAGGCTGTTTAGGGCTTTAAAGGTCAACACCAACACTTTGAATTGTGCTCGGAAACGTACTGGGAGCCAACTAGATGGATTCCCTCCACTCATGCTACCCAGAAACTGGTATTCAGAGGCATAGCATCAAAGATTCTGGAGTTCATAAAGCCGTCGCTGGCTTCTTGGTCACTCATACTCTTCCTTTTCAGAAATCAACTAAAAGAATCAGTAAGCCCGGCTGTCAAAAGGAAGGTCCCAATGGCCCCATATGCTCCGTAAGTTGGAATATAGCTTCGGAGGTATCTCACAGAAAGTTCTTCTACTAATAGGGAAGTATCCCATGTTAGTCACACACTCAAACCAACACTTGTTTGTTCACAAATGATTAATTTGTTCACAGCAGCTTGTTTGGGGGGGGGGGGAGTATAAAAAACTTTAACCAGTAAAGAAAAATGGTAGTTTAGCTCACACGGTATTGACTTAAATATGAAATATATTTAGAAAAGAAATTATTAGTAATATGTTCAGGTAGGAATAATGTTGTTGTTGTTGTTTAGTCGTTTAGTTGTGTCTGACTCTTCGTGACCCCATGGACCACAGCACGCCAGGCACTCCTGTCTTCCACTGCCTCCCGCAGTTTGGTCAAACTCATGCTGGTAGCTTCGAGAACACTGTCCAACCATCTTGTCCTCTGTCGTCCCCTTCTCCTTGTGCCCTCCATCTTTCCCAACATCAGGGTCTTTTCCAGGGAGTCTTCTCTTCTCATGAGGTGGCCAAAGTCTTGGAGCCTCAGCTTCAGGATCTGTCCTTCCAGTGAGCACTCAGGGCTGATTTCCTCAAGAATGGATAGGTTTGATCTTCTTGCAGTCCATGGGACTCTCAAGAGTCTCCTCCAGCACCATAATTCAAAATAGGAATAATAGGAATAGTAGGAATAATAAAGTGTGCCAAATGTGTGCAGTGAAATATCCATTGTCTTATTTATTATGTTCAATATTTAGAGACCAATGGCCCATCTAGTCCAGCATCCTGTTCTCACAGCGGCCAACCAGATGTTTGTGAGAAAACAGCAAGCAGGACATAATCACTCTCCCCTCCCATGGTTTCCAGCAATCAGTATTCAGAAGCATGGTTGTCTCCCCCTGCGGAGGCAGAGCACAGTCATCATGGCTAGTAGCTGCTGATAGCCTTTTCCTCTAAGAATCTGTCTAACCCTCTTTTAAAGCCATCCAAGTTGACTATCACTGCCTCTTGGGGGAGGGAGTGCCATAGTTTGACTTTGCATTGAATTAAGAAGTACTTTCTTTTATTGGTCTTAAACCATCCAACTGTTAACCAATGTTAACTAATTATCATAAATATGATAAATATATAGAACTATCCAGGGGTCGTCCCCCCAGATAGACAAAGTGATGCCTAATTCAGCATGTCAAAAGACTAACAAGTTTACCCTCATCGCCTCAACAACCCCCTTACAGATTGCTTCATGGGAAACTGCGTGTATTTTAGTGTGTTTATTGTTTTTATGGGACGCGGGTGGTGCTGTGGGTTAAACCACAGAGCCTAGGACTTGCAGATCAGAAGGTCGGCGGCTCGAATCCCCACGACAAGGTGAGCTCCTGTTGCTCGGTCCCTGCTCCTGCCAACCTAGCAGTTCAAAAGCATGCAAAAAGTGCAAGTAGATAAATAGGTACCGCTCCAGTGGGAAGATAAACGGCGTTTCCATGCGCTGCTCTGGCTCGCCTGAAGTGGCTTAGTCATGCTGGCCACATGACCCGGAAGTTGTACGCCGGCTCCCTCGGCTAATAAAGCGAGATGAGCGCCGCAACCCCAGAGTCGGCCACGACTGGACCTAATGGTCAGGGGTCCCTTTACCATTAAATATAGTGTTGACTAATTTAAGTCCCACTGATTTCAATGGGCCTCTCCTCTAAGCATGACCAAGCCAATATTCTTCCCACTGTCTTTCATCCTAACCTGCTTTGTGAGGCCAGAGGCCAGCAGCACACCATGTATGTTGCCTTAAACTTATTGAGATATAAATAGAATCGAGATTATTAATAATAAATCATTGTACACCAGCATGCACATCTAAGTCGTTATTTACTTTGAGGTGCATTTTCCACTTCTCTTTACAACGGGTGAAATCAGTTTTATACATTCAAGTTACACACATACCACTGCACTCTTTTCCTGGCTCTGCCCCAAAGACACAAGCCCATTTACTAGAAAAAGTGGATTTCAAGCTGAAGGCAATAATAAGATCACAGAGGCCCAGTTAAAGTTTCACGGCTAGCCGGCAGCGTGCAAAACACAGCCAGGAGCGCTGCGAGAGGCATTTCACAGGAAAGCTTGATAGACACAGTGACAGACCCAATGCTAAAATTCAAGTTCACTTGACCCTGAGGTTACCACCACACTGCGGGCTACTGCTGTGGTCTGCTTTTTTGAAACCCAATGCAGCCGAGATAAAAACAGGGGAAAGCAACCTTTCCCAGCTTCATTTGCTTTAGGAAGCTGAAGCCCAGATTAATTTCACACACAGAGCCTCGTGGGCTGTCTTAACTAACATTTAGAGAACACCAATGCAAAATGTAACACATGTTGTTCCATAAAGTTTGCAAGTTAAGAAGTTCTTGTTTAAGGTAGCTCTGCTGTGTTCCAATTTGAGAGAGAGAGAGAGAGAGAGAGAGAGAGAGAAATAGAGAAATTTTGGAAAGGGCTTTACAGAAACATTGCATATGCAACAAAGGTAGGTCTAGCCTTCATGCCCTAAAAATAATCCTGAAGTTAACTGGTCACATTGCATTCCTCTTCAAAACATGCTGTTGTGTCATTTGCTTTTGGCCAGAGATTACGTCTAGAGTACTACAAAAAAACTGTTCTATAATAAGCTGAGAATCTTCCTTTAATAATAATAACAATATTAATAATAATTTATACCCCACCCATCTGGCTGAGTTTCCCCAGCCACTCTGGGCAGCTCCCAATCAAGTGTTAAAAACAATACAGCATTAAATATTAAAAACTTCCCTAAACAGGGCTGCCTTCAGATGTCTTTTAAAAATAGGATAGTTGCTTATTTCCTTGACGTATGATGGGAGGGCGTTCCACAGGAAGGGAGCCACTACTGAGAAGGCCCTTGCATGCATGATTACATTTTAACACGTAAACTTCCACATCAGGTACTTGTGTAGGTTTCCCAGCTCAGCAGGAACTCACAGAAATATTCCTGTGCCTGAAAATGGGCAATGAGCAGATAATACAGCACTCTGTTTTACAAGGTTTCCAGGGTTCTTTATTAATTCCTCGGCGTTAATCAATCATCATGCCTGCTACAGGCCTCTCCCCTCTCTCCCAAGGACATTACGCACATAAATACATAGCGTGGAATCATACAGACAAACCGCCCGTCTTGCTCACACAGACTAGTATCTCCCTGTAGGGTTTCAGACAAGGTTCTCTCCCAGCCAAGGATTGAACCTGGAACCTTCTGCATGCGATGCAGGTGCTCTACCACCGAACTATAACCCTTCCCATAATCCGCTAGGAGCGGGGACATCCTAAATGACTGGCTGCCATGGCTCCTAAGAATTTGATATTAACGGCACCAAACTATCTTCCTCCGTTCTCTACGGGGCCAGTTCCTCAAACAAACAAGGCTGCCTCCCAGCAATTTCAAAAGTTCTGCTGTGCATGTTTAAAGGGGGGGGGGGAGAGGGAGAGAGTCATTTGCTTGAAACACAAACCACGCTTCAGCAATTGGGAGCCAGGTTTCCAAACCAGGACATGGAAATGCCAGGCGCAATGCCAAAGAAGAGCTGAGTGAGATGGGAGGACTTCACATGCAAGGAGGGTTGGGGGGAGGTGTTGAGGTTGTGATCCTGCAGCCCACTCCAGATCACGCATCGTGGTTAGAAGTATTTCTTCGCAGCCGCCGCTCAATGTATGCCTAAAGGGTATCTAAGCAACAGCTGCCAAGATATTTTGTAAAACCAGCTCTCCATTAGCTGCATTTTACTAAAGCATTAACCCATACGCTTTTATTATTTACAGAAGAGAAGGCTCGTCGGCTGTGCAGCTTCAGTTTTATTTTTAATTGTGAAGGCCTGGCAATTATTCAGAACTGTTCTAACCAGGTAAGCAGCAACAGAAGCAAGACCTTCGTTTGTTGCGCACAAGGCTTTGCCAAATACATACACACCAAAACGAAGCCATATAGAGTTGTGGGTTTCCCCCTCCGTTTCTGTTTTTAAAAATAATTTTTAACCAGCCCATACTTAAGCCAGGTTTGTATCGCAAGGTCAACAGCAAATAGTATTTTTATGTACTCTTCTAAATGCCAGAGAATGTGAGAAGACCTCTACAAAAACGGTGCAAAGAAGCATGTTCCAGGCAAGGTTGAAACAGTGGGTCAGAAAACTGGTAGGGCAGGACAGGTGAAACGGAAAATCCCTGGAAATTGACTGGGGGCAGCTAGATATCGAGTCTCGAAGCGTTTACTAATTCTACCAACCTGACTTCATAAACCAGGTGCTATGCTAGAACCCATAGCAACTGATCCGGCCAGAACACTCAGCAGGAAATCAGTCTGCCTGCCTTGTTCATTCTGTGAACTAACTGCTCTAAAAGTATTCAGTTATGGGATAAAGTGAGGGAAGCCTGGGAGGTTTGCAGAGAGGGTATGTTGGCAACAGGCAGAAGAACCATCATGGGGAAGTCTCGCCACCTGTGGTTCACAAATGACATGAAAAGGCTTTGCCCTCCACAGCGGCAATCCTGAAATTAAAGGGCCCAAGACCATTTGCTCCTTTATGGTGATGTGTTCAAGAGTCACGGTCGCAGAAATGCAGGAACAGGCATTTGCCTTGAAGAGGATGCTGCTTTAAAGAACACACACACACAAATGAAAATGCCCACTATGTATTCAACAGCACTGGTTCAGCAAGCCAGCTCAGCCCAAAGGATGGTTCTGAATATCAGTTGCTGGGAACGCCAAAGGGGAATACCGCATTCAGGTCCTGCTTGGCTGGCAACTGTGAGAGAAGAACTGTGAACCAGTTCGGCCAGCGTCGTTCTAAAGGCAATTTCACCCACTAGAAAAATTCCAGCTTGGGTACATTACTGCACTTTTAAACAGCAGTGACAGTATAGTGTTTCTGTCTGACCCTTACTGAGAACTTAAAAGTGGTTTGTTTTTTAAAGTAACCCTCCTCCTACAGATTTCCGCATCCTAAAAACAAGCGAGCAACTTGTCTTGAGCACTCAGGCACCTACAGCCCTCAAAAAAAACTTGTTTCACCTGGGTTCTCTTCCCTCAGCCAAAAGCAGAACAGGCGAATCTGAACAGGGGGAAGAGAGTCCCTTCCTGCACAAAACAATACTGAACCTAAGTGTCGTCTATTCTGGAGGAAAATAAAGTTTATTTTAATAAGATTGACCCTGTGACATGCCCTTTGAGAGGCTCCATCCTGTGACAATGATGGTGTTTCTTAGCAACCTCCCCTTCTCTGTCCCTTGCCTTTGCTAGCATTGTTGAACTACAGTTACGAACACAGCAGCAGCATATAAATTTAAGAAAGCGCACCAGGATCACTACTTATCTCCACCTTTATTTTATTTTAACCATTAGCAACAATTATGAGCCATCTTCCTTTGAAAGGCCTAGTAATTAAGGATGACGGTCAAACAGTGGGTGTGGTAGGAAAAGATAGCAAGTGTCGGGTGGGGGGGTGTTGTATTCTTTGATAGCACAAAGCCAACAAGCAAAGCAGCCTGCTCACGTTGGTGTCGTTCCTTCGGAGTTCATCGGTTGTGAGTGAATGAGCTCTGCCTTCAGAGTGATAAATGCACATTTTGATTCGTTTCCCCCTTGAAAGCCAAGTGCGCTTTCATTGGCAGGCTGATTAAAGTGGAATTAAAATGTTCTCCAAGGAAAGGGGGGGGGAAGAGAAAAAAACTTGTCACCTTTTCTGCAATGCTATCTGCCCCCCTTTAAGAGATAAGGACCCTCTTTTTTTTTTTCCTGAGTCACAGACACCAGATACTTTGGGGTAAATTAAGAAAACTCATTACATTTTGAAAAGGACGATTGTTCCTATTTTTAAAGCTCTCGTTTTTCTGAATATTGGATTAAGGCGCTGTGTTACAAAAGATAACTTTGGCAAAAACGGTCTGGTGGTATTTGGTTCACCACCCGCTCATTAAATTCCAGCTCAATCCCAGAAGTCCTCATCAACAACTCCTTAACCCTGCAAAAACTTTGCTCCAGAGACAATGTACACAGAGTTTGGTCTGTGCGCACAATGATGCGTGTGGGTCTACGCTAGGTAGGTGGTGGTCAACTGACCGATTTCGGGTGGACCACCTAGACCTGTTGGCTGCAGGACTTGGTCTCCTTCAGCAAACAGCTTCTCATGCCGTGGAGCTAGAATGCATGCTTGCAGATCGTTTTGCCTGAACTATGAGTTCCCTGGTGACATCCTCGCTTTGTAAATTTAAAACACACAGAAGTGGGCCTCAGGGATCACAGTAAAGCAAAAAAACAAGAGAAGACCACACAAGACTGGTCAGCTCACTTTTGGACAGCCCTCTCCCAGGTCCACCACACAGGGAATTTCACCTACATGCAGGTAAATGGGCCACAAATCAAAGGACGGGGGGCAAATTCTGAATGCCTTTTAAGTGAGTAAGCAAAATGAAGAAATGGGTTTGCTATGTGCAGACACGGTACTCATGAATCCACAGCACCAGAAGTTTACACCTTCCTCTATTTAAAAACATTTAACTAAGAGACTTGAGTACAAAGCCCTGGAGAGAAAAATAGTAGAAAAGTAGTATAATTAGGGGAGCAACACCAGCCATTGCGAGTGATATTGTTATTCTCCATCAAGGAAGCAATAACTTTGAGGAATAATCCCCTTAATGAACCACCAAGATGGGGTTCTGACTTCCTAATTAAATTAAATTAAAAGTGTCAGGTATCAAACCTCGGTGGTAACAATGAGCTGAAGCTACGTAGCTGCCTCCCAACATGATCACATTAAGTAATACTGATTTTAATTTCTGGGAATAAAACAGTTATGCAGATGGCAAACCCATTATGCCATAAAACAGATGGGGGAGGGCGGAGGAGGCGGCACATAGCGGCGCTGAGCCGAGAGATTCTCACTCATGTGGCAAAATCTGCCGGGTGCTGAGTCTGGAGTGACACTGTGTCCCATCTCTGTCTTTACGCATAGCTATTCTGGGGACAACTCAAGACACTTCCAATGCCATGGGCAGAACAGCAGGGTAGGAATGGAAACAGATGCATGAACGGCGCTTGGAAGGCTTCGCAAAAGGTTGAAACACAGAGCTGGCTAAACTGGAAAACTGGATGTTTTAGCCCGGAATCATTTTTACCAGTTACTGGACCATTTCTCTGCAATACCTGAACGGCTAAATTTGAAACACTCCCACAAAAAACAATAACACTATGTGCATTGAAGACAGTAAAAAAAATTAAAAAATGCCCTGAATCACAAATATATTTAGTTATAAAGTTTTGGACAGAGGTATTAAATTATAAAGACTGACATTATAAAAAGATGATTGGTTTGTTTATAGTGACGTGGCAAGTTCAAAGAGAGGCAGGTAAGGGACTGACAATGGAAAAGGAAATTCAATTCTTACACTCCGTGCAATATCAGAAAAATCCACGTCACCCATGACAGCCTTTTTCACAATGTGGGGGAGCATTTTGGGGAATGAGCTCATAATTATTCATTAAAGATTCAAGCAACTCAGTTTAAAAACTACGCATGAGCAGCCTTTTATGTTGGTATATATTTTAAGTTGCCAGTTGCTCTTCTCAATTTCTCTCTCTCTCTCTCTCTCTCTCTGCAAACAAGGTACTTACCAAAGACAGATTCCTGAAAGCTTTAAAAATTCATTAGAATCTTGGCAATAAATATGGCCACTGTATTTTACTGTAACAGTATTGATCGCAAAGCACTTGACTTATCTAGGGAGATAAAACTTATCTTGACCTTGTCAAATACGAACAGTCTGGACTTAAACACACACCCCCACCCCACACACAACCAATCCTACGATAGCCCCTTGTGGGGGGAAATAGACACACAGAGATAACACAGAGATGATACAGAACAGTACATGAGTATTAATGTATTGGATGAAATGGGAATTTACCTTCACTCTTCCACCCACCCCAAAATGACATATACTACCATTTACTCGTAGAGAACAGAAATTTCTCAAAGGAGGGGAAAAAGAAAAATAAAGAAAAAACCGTGAAGCTTGCTAAACTTGAAGAGTCTGTGTGGAGTCCTATGTGAAAAGTTACCCAATCCCATCAGATGCTCAGGCACCCAGCAAAATAAAATTAAAATAAACCTATCCCTAGGGTTGCCAACAAAGGTCCGTATAGTTAAAGCTATGGTTTTCCCAGTAGTGATGTATGGAAGTGAGAGCTGGACCATCAAGAAGGCTGATCGCCGAAGAATTGATGCTTTTGAATTATGGTGCTGG